GGACCCCCTACGGTGCCTGACAGATCTTACAAATCTCATTTTCGGGCTAATTGCCCGTCGGCAGTAGTGCGTGTAATGCCCATAGACATACACAAAAGCTCACCGACGAACAACGGCGCTTGGTCGCCCAACGGAGGCGCGAGACGTCTCCTAAACCATCTAATGCCATGTAATTCCATAACCTTTACGGATTCCATAGGATTGGATGGAATTTAAAATTTCTTTTTTGGATTCCATGGGATTGGACCATCTCATTTCAAATCCCATCTAATTCCATCTAATTCCGCCAAAAAAGGAATTCAAAAGTATTAAAAAATTTTAATATCTTTTAATTCTTTTGCGTTTGCTGGGAAAGATAATGATGAATTATATCATGCTCTTTTAGCTGATATTAATCTAGACCCTATTAACTATAAAGAAGCTATGTTGACAAAAGATAAGAGACTGTGGCAGAAAGCAATCGAAGACGAATTAAATTCTATGAACAAAAATGAGGTGTGGGAATTGGTGAGTCGTCCAACAATAACAAGTGATGGTAAAAAGGCTAATATTATAGATTCAAGGTGGGTTTTCGAACAAAAGATCGAATCAGATGGGAAAATTAAACATAAGGCGCGACTTGTCATTCAAGGTTTCAAAGATAAAAACTATTATGAACTAAGGGAGACATATGCTCCTGTATCAAGATTGCCTCTGGTGCGTTCTGTAATCGCAATAATTAATAAACACGATTTAGATGTTTGCCAATTGGATGTGAAAACAGCATTTCTTAATGGAACTATTGATGAGGAAATTTACATGGAAATACCTGACGGTGCGAATTATACTGATAAAGATAAAAGAGAAAAGGTGTGTAAACTTAAACGAGCTCTTTATGGATTACGTATAAGTCCAAAGCGTTGGAATATCAAGATTGACTGAAGCTGCTCTGAAAATGGGACTTCAGAATTCAGAATTAGAACCTTGTATGTTTACTTGGAGAAATGAGGATAAGTACTTAATTTTGCTTTTATATGTAGATGATATATTAGTGGCGAGTAATGATAAAGATAAATTAGAAGAGGTTAAGACAGGTTTAAGTAAAGAATTTGAAATGACAGTGCTAGGTGAACCAAAAGAATTTCTGGGTATAGCTATAAGGCGAGACAGACAGAACAAAATAATTGAATTAACCCAAGAAAAATATATAAGAAAAATCTTAGCTAGGTTCAACTTTAGCGAAGCACATGCTCAGAAAACGCCAATGGTTACTACTCAAGTAGCTAACAGAGAGAGAAAGTTGCGTGAGACGGACATTGACGATGATATACTATTAACTACAGAAAACAAAGAAAACGTTCCTTATAGAGAAGCAGTGGGCAGTTTGTTGTATCTGGCAGGTGCGATGAGACCCGACATTTCTTATGCTGTTAACGTAATAAGTAGACACCAAGTGAATCCAACTACTGATGATTGGAAAATGGTTAAAAGAGTGTTTAGATACTTGAAAGGAACGAAAAGCTTGGGGCTAAAATATTTAGGTGAGACAAATGATATACAAAGTTACTCTGATGCAAGTTTTGCAGATTGCAAGAATTCTTTAACTACATGTGGATTCGCGATTACATTATATGGAGATGCGATAATCTGGCGAACACATAATCAATCTTATGTTGCGTTATCAACATGCCAAGCAGAATATGTCGCTTTGAGTGAGGCGTGTCAAGAGTTGATGGCTATTAGTAATTCACTAAAGTTAATTTTGACTGAGTCATTCTTCCCTATAACTTTATGGTGCGATAATAGAGCTGCGGGAAGTAGTGCTGAAACTAATGGTGGGAATAAATTAAGACATATGACTGAGGTGAGAGAGCATTATGTCAAAGAGTGTGTTCAAAGAAACCATGTAAAGGTCAAATGGATAGCATCTAAAGATCAATTGGCTGATTTGTTTACAAAGCCTCTTGCTTTTGAATTACATAGCTATCTAGTAGGCGAGCTTATGAATACTAAATCTTAATTTGTTTAGTAATTTATATTTAATCATTCACAGGAAATAAGTAAGCGGAAAGATAAGGCGTGAGGCGTGTTTTTGGCGAGGATCTAGCTTAAAAACTATCAAAGACTAAGAGCGGTCGGGAGGGAGTGTGAGAATACTGGAGCGCCCTGCTCTTATCTCTCTACTTCCTCTACTCTCCCCTCCTCGGGGGTGTACCGATGCTGCGCGG